ACACATCTTATATATATATATATATTAATTAATTAATTATATGTGTAGTATATGTTTGAGTTTATGCTTCTGTCAGTATCTGATAATTTCTGTTTTTTTCTTCTGCTGCATTATTGACTAGAGTTTGTCTTGCAATATCCTTTTTCCTTTAAATGACGTTTGCATTCATGTATTCTTTCATTTGTTACTCACTTCCATGATTGATATTCTTTATGTGGATCAAGTTTATCATTCAACTGATTCATTGCCTTCTGCTCCGTTCATGTTTCTTTGTTTATTGATTATTTTAGAATGAATTGTGGGTGGAAGTACGATCTTTGAAAGATTACACAAGAAAGTTTACCTTTTTCTTATCTTGGTAAATGGCCACTGTTTGTTTGTGTATCTTATGAATTGGAGGAAAACTTTTACTGGGAAAGAATTTTTTCTTATTTCAAATTGAAAACAACACCTTTGTCACTTAAGTACTTCATCTAAGTTTTCTCAGTAACTAAATACATAGGCTTCAATGTTTTTCAGGTCTAAGGTTGCAAAGTTTTCCACAGGAGAAAACTACATTCTTGAATCTAGGATGTTTTATTCTGGACGCATCTCTATTCTCATGTTTTCCCCTTTACTGGTTTTACCTTCTGCAATGGTGCATTAATTGTCAGGATCCTTTCTTATTTTTATGCAACATGTTTCAGAATTTAATCCTTGACCCCTTTCAGCCAACTTGTTCTCCTTCACATTAAATCTTGGACAATTATTGTCAATTATTGGTACTTGCTTTATTTATAAAAGAAATTAATGTGTTTCCTTGTTTATAGTTTTATAATTAACCCCTTTCCCCCTATTAATTCTTTCCGTTATATACCAAATCCCCTTATTGTTGCTGTTTCCATAAATAGCGTGTCTTCCATTTATTTGGGCATAGGAAAATAGATAAATCATAGTCTAATTTTTTTTTTCTATGGTTGGTTGAGATTACGTGGATCTTACTTTGAAAAAGTGTTTAAATTTGACCCTGATGCATCCACTATGTGACTACATAGGCCTAATTCATGTCAATAATCTATATAAATTTAAGGAAAAAGTATAAATCATGACCAGGTCGCTTTCTCTGATGTTCATTTACAAAAAATTCTTGAGGCTGCTTATTATTCAGCTAAACTTCATTCCTTACTAATACCAGTAATTAAGGCAACAACGACTTAACTCATTTATGTTAAGAATTCAAAGTTGAAGTTTAATACGAGTAAAAAATAAATAAGATCGACCAGTAATGTATAAGTAATACCCATAAACCTATCTTTGAATATTTTGGCTTAGAAGTGGTGTCCTAATCTTTTATATTTACGAGTTTGTTCACAAATTTAGACCTTAGAAATGGCTCTTTGACTTTTATATGAACAGTAATTTTTTATTTTCTTGATTGGTTTTTCAGGGAGAACAAGAGTTAAGGCAAAAGCTTATTGATGCCAGACTTGAACTTGAAACCACAAAGCATCTCAAGACAGAACTGTTCAATCGGTTGAAAATGGCTTACCAAGAGAGGGATGAAGCAAGGTGTCAGCTAGCTAAACTGAGGAACCAGTTCATGCCCTCTAATTCAAACAATTTGCAAAACATGTTTGATATGCAAAATAATTTCACCTTCCCTTCTGCTATTAGAGCAAGCTCAGGCATAACAGAATCTGATAATAGTCTCTCACATGGTTCCCCACAAGTGGAATTCTTATTTGACTCTTCTACAGAGGTTACAAACATCCATGCAGTTAACCCATTTGACAAAATGAGTTATCTCAATCAGAATCCGATTCAAGACTTCAATTTTTCAGCACCCCATGTTTCGATGATTCCTTATATAAAGCCAGTGTGTGATCCTGCTGCTGCAGTTATAGATCGTCTTGCCAATGAAAGAGGTTTGCCTCAAATGGGTCAACTCCTTCAGGCTGTGAAAGATGCTGGTCCATTGCTTAATACTTTGCTCCTTGCAGGACAACTTCCTACATGGGTCAACCCTCCTCCTATTGAAAAGATCAAAGTGCCACCTATAGCCATAAAAAAGTGTGATGTCACTAGCATCATTAAGCCTAACACTTTTGGAGAAAGTGGAAATTCACTTCTAAAACCCAGGATTCCAACTTTACATCATTCTTCAAATGCTCTCTCCACTTGTTCTGCTTCCATGCTCAACTTAGCTGGTCAAACCACTGGTTCATGGAACAGCACATGGCAGTTGAATTCAACTTCTGGTGTCACTTCCAAGTCCCGTCAATGAACAACAAAGGCATTAAATTTTTTATCCCTTAGTCTCCTTTTTTCCAAATATGTAAATGGCACACTCAGCTTTTGTTTTGAGTGAAGCAGGAGAGATAGCCTTTTTTTGTTTTAATTAAAATGTTAGATAGCTCTGCATTTGAAAGTATAGGAAAAATTGAATTTTCGTATTATCAAATGTATCTTACATCTTTGTGATGATCTGATATTTTTTTCTGCCCATACCCATCGGATAGTTGTTTGTCGAATTCAACTAGAATGTTAAACTGTTTCCATCTCTCCTCGTCATATTTGTTAAATATGTCAACTTTTTGTAACAATTACTTTAAAAATGACGTTTGAGATTACTTGATAGGATACAAGTTTTTACCCAATTAAGGAAAATTAAACTTGTTCATATTTTATTTGCTCAAGATATTTAAGTTTACCCTATTGCATATCTAAGAAAAATATCAATTTTTTTAACCTTTGATAGTATCTAAGACGAGTTGTCAGCAATCACAACGGAGAATCCCTAGTGTCATCTCCAACTGTACCACTTCGGTTTGAACGTTATGTGTCTCTATGTTGGCATAGTTTCAAACTTCGTTTTCTGCTATTTTTATCAAACTCTTACGTAAAAACTTGATATTCATTCAAATGTCTTCTGTTTCTGCTGAAAGCAGTAACCCTGCTCCATGGAAGCTGGAAGAGATTGTTTCAATTATTATAGTGTGCATTATCTTTCTTACACTGAGTGATTGCTTCGGCGTATTCAAGCGTCTGTTGCGTGGAATTTCCCGAAACAGAAACCAGGTTCCAAGGAGGTTTCTAGATGTGACCGTTCTCGACGATGATCCTTCCATGCAGGTTCAAAGCCGAGGATTGGAGTTCTGTGTGGTGCAGTCTCTTCCAACGATTGAGTTCAAGAGAAACGAGGCAGAACAAGACAAGGGAAGTAATGTGGAATGTGTCATTTGTCTTGGAGAGTTTGAGGAAGGGGAGAGACTGAAACATCTTCCAGAATGCAGCCATAGCTTCCATGTTTCATGCATTGACAAGTGGTTTCAGTCTCATTCAAATTGTCCTCTGTGTAGAGCATTTGTGCATCATCCCATGCTGCACTTTTCCGTAGATGCTTCTCACACATTGCTACAGCCTTTGAGGAGGGAAGACTTTGAAAGGGATAATCTGCCTAGCACACAACAGTTCCTTCCCCCTTGATTTATAATTTTTCTTTTCTATCTTTGCTTTCAGTTTCGATCTTTTCTGAGGTGTGAACCCTTGGAGACTTTGAGGAAGAGGAGAATGAGTGACATTGTAAATAGAATTTGAAGGGAAAGCTAACAGCTTAGAAGCCTCCGTTTTGATGGTTATACGTTATCATAAAGCATGTCATGATTATACAAGAGTGCTTAAGAGAGCTGATTTTGAAATTCGTAGGTCCATGATCAACACCAGTGTTGAAACTTGTACTGCAGTATAGTTTTTAAATCTGAACTAACAAAACCAGTGCTTACGTTTTTGCCTTTAAAGAATTGTATCAAGAGTTTTCACTATTTTTAAGAAATGTTGTTCAAATACTTCCTACATTTTGGGTAGAAAATTTGCACCTACATTGAAAAATTTTATGCTCATCGCTGCTCTGATCAACCGTATCTCACTTTTATTCTTCCTGTTTTGTTCAACCACAAAATTTGTGCCCATTTTAACTTGCTCTACCTTAAATTTTACATTCATCTTTCATTTAAATGAATCGTGTATTGAAGGAAATAGGACGAAAAAATAAGTACGATTTCAACTCATGAGCCTAGAGAAGTATTTTATGAAATGCAATAAGATACTTATTCTATCATATCTCTTTCCATTATTCCAAAGACCTATTATGCACACCACCTACGATCTCAAACCTTACTAATTCTAAACTCAATTAGAATAAAAACTATATTATGAGCTATTTCCTTGTTGACTGTTAGCTTTCGAATTTGCTAATAGCGTATGCTTTGTCGGTTGACTAGCGTCAGTGCGCAAATTCTTTCATCAGTTTCTGCACTCTAAAGTTTCGTTAGTGCCACCAACTTCAGGACCCTCGTTAACCTCACATTCAATGAGTCACCTAATCACTAAATTATAAAATTTTAACATGCTCATTTCAATCATCAATTTAAGAGTCAAAATTGAAACACGGTGTCTGCTTAGTGTCAACTGAAGCAAATGATACAAAATAATAAAACTCGAAATATAGAACCTATCCTTTTTTGAAAAGTTACCGTCAAGAATCACCATAGAACTGCCTAACATTAAATAAAACCCATGTACTTAGATGATGCCGATCTTGTTTGCCACATCCAATGCATCGTAATCAGGGGTCAACCTGACATAAGCCTTCTTGGTGCCATCAGGCCTGCAACAGAGTTGAAATTCAGAAATTGCAGCCGAAATTCCTTATATATTGAACTAAAGCTAAACACTTTTCCACAAGTTCACTGTAAATGGGCATCTCAAACACATCCAAATAATACACAATCCTACACTCTTAATTCAGAGAATTCCCTATTTTACTAGCAATACAAATTGAACAGGTACAGATATTCCACATTCCACTAATGAAATTATTAATTCAATAATGCTACCACTGCACCAAACTGGTAACAACGCTCAAGCCTGTAATTATAACATAAAACAGAGAACAGGAACGACACATGATGCTTGCTTAAGGCAGAAAAGAGGCCCGGACTAGAAATTATATTTGACATAATGTATTAAAATAAAAGTGTTTTTAAAAGGGTAGTACAACAACTATGCTACTAGTTGAATAAAAAATTTATTACACTGTCAAATTCATTAGCAATAGCAAGTCATCAAACTATTACTATCAAAACCAATTAATCATTGCATAGATGCTTACCTGATCAAGGTGTTAACCTTCTTCGCCTGGATGTCATACATTTTCTTCACTGCATCCTTGATCTTCTTCTTGTCCGCACGTAGGTCGACGATGAAAACCAAAGTGTTGTTGTCCTCGATCTTCTTCATAGCAGACTCAGTAGTAAGAGGGAACTTCAGGATCTGATAATGATCAAGCTTGTTCCTTGGTGGCGCACTAATGCGAGGGTATTTAGGATTCCTATCCTTCTTCAAGGTCTTCGGCCTGTGGAAAGTCACAGAAGTTCGGATCTTCTTCGCCTTCTTCTTAAAGGTAGGTCCAGACTTAACTGCCTTAGCAGTTTTCAAGGCCTGTGCCTTTGGATCACCCTTCTTAGAACTATCAACTATACACAAAAAAAAAAAAATTAAAACCACACACAACAAAAGCAAAACCAACCTAAGTGTTCATACTGCATAATCTTCTTCCTTATTAAATCCTTAATTCCCATACTATTGAAAGAAAAACTCAATCAATTGACTTAAATTTCGTTCCACCAATCGTTAAAATGAAAATTGAGAAAAGCGAAGTGAGGAACACGAACATACCTTTAGCGGGAGCCATCGAAAAAAAAACTCTACCCGTCAAATATTCCGAATTCCTGAAAGTTAAAAACCTGAAATCGTAAACAGCATGAAATTAAGCAAACCAGCGAAAGAGTAACGATGCACAGTCACAAACCTGCGCAGAGGAACAAACCCGGCTCTAGGGTTTACGTTTTGGTTTATGAAGTTTATATACGAAATGTTACAAAATGACCAAAATTTCCTTATCCATTTTTGAAAATGGGCCATGTTTCGATAGGCCCATTTAGAATGCCTTTGGGCCGGGTTTGTAAAATCCATTAGGAGGTGTTGACTGGCCCATCATGTTCAGTCAAGAGTGAAAATGCGAGTACCGTTGCTGTCTTCCGAGAATGGTGAATGCTGACGTGGCGGACCAACTCCTTTTTCTCCCATGAAACGACAGAAAAGAGTGCCGCAGAGCAACCTGAGCTCTGAGTCAGAGGCGAGCTAACTCCAATCCAACGTCGTTTTTGGTCGTGTTCTATGTCAGTGCGGTGCTTGTGTTTCGGACATGGCGGAAACAAACCCTGCTTCTGTTTCTTCTTCCGCGGGTGATTCGAATTGGAGAGAGAACAAGTTGGTGAAAGGATCATTTGCGGTCTCCGGAATCATGCTCACCCTCGTAACCTATGGCATCTTGCAGGTCTATAAGTCAAACTTTTCGTTTCTGTTGATTTTGATAGAACCCCAAGATCTTCTTGTCTTGCTTAATTCTAATCTCAATTACGTATTTGTGGGTTTTGTAATTGTTCCGCTCTTGAGTTTGTTATCAATCTTCTAGGTTGAAGTGTTCTTAATTTCTTAGTCTTAAATTTCACTTTTTGCTTATTTATCAATTTGTGATTGGGTGCTTATGGATTAACTAAACTGGAATCTATTAAGGCATGTGGGCTAAAGATAACGTGGACCTTCTTGTCTTGTGAAGCCGGATAATGACAAAACCCTCTTTGTTTGATAATCCTACTACTGTCCTGTGACTGTGAGTTATATTATATATATGTGTGAGTGAGTTTGTTTCTTTCAGGAAAAGATCATGAGAGTCCCTTATGGGGTGAACAAGGACTACTTCAAATATTCTCTTTTTCTTGTTTTCTGCAACCGCATCACGACGTCTGCTGTTTCGGCTGGGGCTCTAGTGGTGAGTGAGTGCTTCTTATGTGGGGAAATACTATGGTTACCGAACATTTGATTCGTATTGGATTAAGGTTGGCAAACTTAATTTTGGAGCAGTTTTCACTTTTCAAACTAAGTTTGTAAAAGTAACCTCGGTGTTGCTTTATGGAAACTTGGTTTCAGACAGTATATACCTGTATTTTAACACTAATCAAACAGGTTAAGAAATGAGTTTTATAGCCAAACTGAGTTTGGGGCATCCCAAACGAGAATCCAAACAAGCTTTGTTTTTCACACTGCAGCCTGCCCTTTCGTGTGACTGCATTTACTAAGCCAGAATTTTCCTTGAATTTATGGTTTTCAATCTTTCTCATAGGCACGGAACAAAGTTTTGGAACCTGTTGCCCCCATTTATAAGTACTGCCTTGTGTCAATATCGAACATTCTTACCACAAGTTGTCAGTATGAGGTAAGCTGCATACCTTCTATGTGTCTATAGATTGTATGATCGTTATAAGTTGTTATTATGTATTTACCGTTGGCTGCCCGTTAATACCTTTTTTGTATCGTGTTTCCTATTCCAGGCTCTCAAGTATGTTAGTTTCCCTGTTCAGACTCTTGCAAAGTGTGCTAAAATGATACCAGTTATGGTAAGGGAAACATTAATATTGTACTCAATTATATAATTTATCTTTTTATATTTATGATTACTGGCTGATTGCAATCTTCATTAATACTGTTGATAAAGTATAGTAATAATTGCTTTGTATAATGTGTTGTTCCTTAACACTAAATCTTTCATGCACTCTTTATCTCATCTTTTCACAATCATTTGTGGTTGGCATCATTTGTAGCCACTTCATTTTTTAGCCTAACAAGTGCATGAAAGGAAAATATGCAACTTAGAGATAGAATCAGTCTTCAAATTTGGTTGAACACTCTTTTCGAATTGATCAAATTATTGGCCTGGTAGTCTCTCTCTCTCTCTCTCTCTCTCTCCCAAAATACTAATACTTTTTCCCCCTACAAATTTTATTCTACTTAGGGTAGGCACATTTCGAATTTCTTTTTTATTCTTCAGAAATGTCAAACTTTCAAATATTTGTTTTTTGTCTTTTAGAGAAAGTGAGAGAAGGAAGGAAATTTGGTTTTTTGGTAGGTACTAACAAATTTACCATGATGAGCAAAACAGTATATATCCTCTATACTTTGCTTTTGAAAATGATTAAGTTGGTGATTTTAAAGCTGCTTCAGTCTATCCTCAAAATAGAGTGGAGAATATGGTGTAAAGTTATTAACATGTCATTTTTTTATGAATGACAAGATGACTTTTAGGTAGACTTTATAATATTTTAGTCGCCTATTTTGGTTAAGTCGAGGCTTGTTCTCTTCTTTTTCTATATTTTGATTTAGATATAAGTCATAATGGTTAAGTAGATGAAGGCTTGATACTAAATATTGTTTTGGAAAGTTTTGAAGGATTTTTTTATAATAAGTTGATTATCATTTATGCATGTAAAAGTGCGTCTTGTGTGTGAAATTAGACGCAACTCCTATTTTCCGTTTTAATTTTATTCTAAGGACTTATTTGTGTTCTATTAAAGTGAATGTACAGTTTATACTTGGTGGGTTCTTGGTAGTATAATAGATCGTCCTACCCTGCTAGCCGTTTTTTTTATTTTCTTCCACCATGCATGTGTTCTAGACTCAACCAAACCAATCATGTTCCTTTTCTTTACGACACATCTTATGTACAATCTTTGTGCCTATTGTTTATTCCTTCCATGTTATGAATCTTGATTCTT